GAGATTATTTTGGACAGGATACACAGCAATGGAAATAACTGGAATTTTCACAAGTAGGGAGGCAAAAGTGTAAAGCTTTGTGTCAGCAGAAGCAGGGAAGGGGCCCCTGGGAGCCTGTTGGACCTTCTGTCAGGGGCAAATGTGGCTCTGACTCTGCCACCACCTCAAGACAACCTTCTCCATCCACAGCCCCCCACGCAATACACGTGCCAGACTTCTCTGCCTCAGTGATGTTGGGCTTTTTGCCCTGAGTTCTCAGATATCACATCCATGGGAGGGGGAAGAGAGGGAGTTAATTGCATTTCTTTAAAAATTAAGGAAGTTAAGCTTATCTCTTTGCCTGCATATGGGGAGCTGCGTGTCCTGGATGAGTGAGCTGACGCGAGATGGTTTCTAGGCAACTTCTGCAAGTCATGTTGGAACAGGAATGTGAATTAAAATTAAAAACAAAACCCAAACAAGTCAAACAAAACAAGTTGCAGCTTCTCCATGCAAAACCAGTTTTGACTGACTCGTAGGGTTCATGTAAGGTCTTTTGTGGGATTAATATTGCCTTACTGTTATGGATGGAGCCTGGCACCCCTGCACCAGCATCTATTGTGAGACATATGATAAGTGTGTTTATGCAGGCAACACACATACCTTGTGCATGATAAGAGGCCTGTCGTGCCATGTCATTGTGATGATACTATTTGATTGCTGAAATGCCATAACCTAAGTGTTCCAGGAACCTCGGCCTGAGTACATCCAGGGGGTAGAAAACAGTGTCATTAACTCCAGTTCTTTCCTCTTTCCCAAAGAAATTCACTATACCGCTTCATTTTTTTTTTTTTTTTTGAGGGATTGGAAAAGTTTAGGCTAAAAGTAGTGTTCTTGGGAGCTGCCTTAATTTTTTTCTTTTCTATGTGCTGCAGAAAGAGGAGGACATCTCATCTGCTTAGATTATTCTGCAATATCAGGAACTGATCACTGTACCTTTCAGTCTCAACCCAAATTTCAGGGTAAAGGGGTGAGCTGATCCCATTCCCCTCAAAAGTAGCTATTCCAACATCTCCCCCAATTTATTCAACTATAAAGGTCTCAGACAGAATGTAACCTCACCCATGTAAATCCAGAGTTGTATCATTTTCCAGTGTCAGAGTAAAATTCAGTCCTCAGTGCCACAGCTGAAAATTAATGGTTTCACACCCCATACTTTCTGGGCCAGCATAACAAGGAGTTTTGGATGCAGTGTTTACAGCCTTCCTGTAAGTCACAGAGGGCAAGGAATGCCTTCCAGGGATTCTGACTAGCAGGATCCCATTCTGCTCCTGCATTTGCTTGTGTGATTGAAAAGCAACTGCTGAAGTCTGAACTTGACTGAGATCAGGGAATTTGAGTTGTCAATAAAATTACCAGCATGTATTTTAAAAGCCAGAATCACCAGGATTATTTCAAAGCGTGTGTTCACGTTTCAGGAAGGGGGATACCAAAATTAAGTGAAATGTACAATAACCAGGACAACAAAGCAGTTTCATTTACGAACCTAATCTTTTTTTCCTCAAATGTTGTATTGCACTGTTTGTCTGATTCTCCACCAAGCAAGTAGGTTATAAAGAGAGACACTTACAAGATTTTGTTGTTCATATGAAGTCAGAGCATATCAAGGTTATAGCTGAAAAACAAAATCTCTAAGCCTAACTCAAGCTTTTTTCCCAGCCCTGAAGAAATCACTGACCAGCAAAACTGCTGGGATTTCTTTCATTGCTGAGTTATGTATGGACCTAACACTGACTTTTGTAAAAGTGTTTTCTCTGCTCAAGAACCCAGAGCAGCATTTGAGATGCTTCAGATCACTCCATGTGTATCCAGCTCCTGATCCTTCATAGCTCCTGACAGACAACCAGTGAGTGAGCACTCCTGTTGCTGATGGAAGGGGACTCCCTTTAGGAACCAGGCTGTGCCAGGTCAACAACTCTGGTGGTGACACGCTCTGGCTCCATCACCTCTTGCTGTCAGGAGTGCAGGCTGCCTTGCCTTGGGCGTCCTCTGCAGCAGAGCTCTGTTGGTTGTTGCCATGGTTGCTCTTGTCAGCGCTGGCTGGAGTGTGCAAACCCAAATTTAATCCCACTAGCACTTCATTCCCATGCATTTGGCCTCAGTTTCTGGAGTTAGACAGACCCTAATACTGCTATGTGACCATACACAGACTTAACTCTCTTAATGTCTCCCAGATTTCTTCAGGGCTGCTTTCTTCAGTGTCCCTGTGATCCACTCGTACCTCCAAGATTTTGGTAGGCTCAGCTCAGCCTGAGTGAAGCTGAGGCAGGTAGTGGGACTGGCCTCCTTTTTCCTTCTGTCTTCCCGTGTTTTTCCAAACTGACAGCTAAACTGACAGGTCTGCTCCCTTCAGTAAATACTGTTGCCTGCTGTCATCACTGAAAAGCTCACTGCCTGACTTGCCTGCAGATAGAAAGGGGTCTATATATTAAAAGAATCAGGCTGTCAGGCTCTGGCCCTTCCAGAGGGATAAAGCCCTATGGCCACAATGAAACAACTCACAGTGTTGGAACCAACTTTTTCAGAGGCTCCTCCACTCTTTGCTACCTTTCACCAGCTCTCGACCATCCAGAAGATACTCCAAGCACTACTTTAGATCAGGTCTTGGATTAGTCAGAGAGGTTGCTTCAGAATAAGGAAAGACAATTTCTCCTCTCAGGGATTCAAGCTGCTGCCTCGGGATGACTTATAAACAGCCCACGGAAACCCAGAACAGGAAAAACACAAAAACCAGATGCTGCTTATTGTAGTTCTAACTCATAATGAAGGACATCAACTGAGTTTGCAGTGTATTATTATAATTACTATTATTGTTGTTGTTGCTGCTGTTATTGTTTTTCTTATTATTATTACTACTACTACTACTAATGCAGAGTGAGAATGCAGGTGTTACCCAACATTGCTCACATATTAGGGAAGTTGAGTGCTGTTCTGCATTACCTTCTGAGATTTTAGTGTTTTCCAAGGGCACTAGCTTAGCCATAAGTGAAAATTTAGCGTCAGAGTTGAAGGATCTCTGGTCTCTCCAGCCTGCAGCCTTCCCCAGTTTTCTTCCCCTACTGCTCAGTGCAGGACTGAAGCACAAGATCACCCAGCAGGATTGTACTCATAAGGTTATAGATGTTCCCTTAGCTCATTGTTGCTGCTCACACTCCTGACAGCACAAGGGAAGATCTGGCTTGAGGTAGCATTGGAAGATGCTCTTCAGAAAGTTCGAGTGGGAGATTCGTGTTTTGCAAAATTAAACCTCAAACCACTGGTTTGAGACTCAAATCTACATCCTGTAATATCTGTACCCCAACAGTCTTCCGGGGAAAGAGAGCTCCAAAAAGAGGTCTTAGTTTACCTCTCAAAGAGGTCTTAGTTTAACTCTCCTATGTTAGCAAATACACAGCCATGCATGGACAAGTGTATCAGCAAGGACTAGCTTTGTTTTGGAAACCTTTGGTGTTTTTTAGGAATTTAAAAGTCCAGTCACCCATGAAAGGCTTTGTCCATACCCTCCAATAAGCTACCCAGATTTCTGTCATTTCTGCTCCATGAAGGAGGAGTCTAACCCAAAGTCATGGTAGTGCCACACGGGTCTCACCATTTCAAGGATTTCACAGAAGAAGAGGGCTAAGGTTTGATGACCACATATAAAATTTTCAGGATTCTCTGTTATGATATGACCAAGTGCAATTATACTGCAGATTAGAAAACTACCATGTAGAATTGCGGAGTAAATGTCTACTATTTGTTCATGCCTTCTTTGGAAATAATGGAGATCCACTTTTAAAGTAGTTTCTCTTCTGGATCTTTGCAGTTTGTCTCTTTTAGAGATCTGGGGACACTGCGAGATGCAGGCACATCTGTTTCCTGAATCCAAACTTACAGGCAGTGACAGATTGCTCTGTCTAATTTTATGTATGAATTTGTGGGCAGTAAAAACACAATTGTATTATGCATGCACACATACACAAAGAATATACTGTTGGTGGCTTAAGCTAAAACCTTAAATCAAAAACACAAGCTATCAGAATCTCAATTCTACAGACTCACCTTGCATGTGATTTCAGTATAATTTTACAATGTCTTCCCTGGCAGGTTGCTCTTGACAACTTTTTTCTAAAGGGAAATTGTAAGCAAAATACAGTGGACAAGGCCTTGATTAGCTTCTGGAATATGGTGCCAAATTTTCAGCAGTCAGAGTTAAAATAGCAGAAGGGAAAAAATGACTCATAGAACCATTTAGAATGGGAAAGACCTCTAAGATCATTAAGTCCAACCATTAACCTAACACTATCAGGTCCACCATGTTCGGAATAACCATATCCACACATCTTTTAAATACCTCCAGGGATGATGACTCAACCACTTCCCTGGACAGCTTGTTCCAGTGCTCGATAACCCTTTCCATGAAGAATTTTTTTCCTAATATCCAATCTATACCCCCCCCGCTCCAGCACAACTTGTGGCCATTTTCTCTTGTCCAGTAGATTGTTACTTGGAAGAAGAGACTGACCCCCACCTTGTTACAACCTCCCTTCAGATATTTGCAGAGAGCAATAAGGGCCAACATGAGCCTTCTTTCCTCCAGGCTGAACAACCCCAGCTCCCTCAGTCAGTCCTCATCAGACTTGTGCTCCGGACCCCTCACTGCCACATTCCAGCAAACAGCCAAGTTTGTGTCTGGATGAAACAGCTCGGTCCACATGTAATGCCTGCAACAATTAACTTTTACATGTTAATTACCAGGGCTTTTCCTCATCAATCTATTTCATTACAGCCCTTTGCTCTGATTTTCATTGTTCAAGTCTTAGTAAGCCACATACTTCTCTTTTTGTGGATAAGAAGGTAAGCAAAATGTCTTGATCACTTAGAGAATGCATTAGGTAGGGAGTCCCAGGGGGGATTACTGCTTCAGCACTGCTGTCTCCACTGAGAGATAAAGATGAGCACAAGTTCATGTGAAACATAATTTTAAGATGTTTTGAGCAACTAAGCCTCAAAAGGTCTGCAAAATGCTTCCAGGCAAGATACAGATGGGTGACCATACCGTCACCTCAGAGAGATTCTGAGCTGTTCAGTGTCATTTTCTGAGGCACATCAGACTGCAAGAAGGAAATTCCTCTAACCATGCGAATAGTGATTAATTAGTTGTCTTTCTGCCCAGACATATCAAACCAACATGAAAATTGCAAACAATTTTATAGGCTGAAGGATGGGGCAGCTAACCAGTATAAAAAGATATTGCCTTAAAAATGTTTCATTTCCACTATACATGGATTTTTCTTGAGGAATTCCACTGAAATTCACTAAAATCCACTTCTCCAGGTTTACACCACTGGGATCAAAATCTGGCACCACTCTATAGTGAGGGCTTATTAAGGTGTCTATGATCCAGCAATGTAAAGGGCCTTCATGTTAATAATTCTTTATTATAAGCCTTTTGAAGCCTTCCAAAGACCTGAAAGAAGAGCAGAGCTGCCTGGAGCTTCACAGGAAGCCAGACTCATGGTCCCATCTTATCTCAAAGTCTATTACTTCTGCCCAGTAAAGTGTCCATGTTCTCATTGAGAGTAAAGGCATTTGCAGGTAAATTGCTCTCTCCTCAGTCTAATGGACCAATTTCAGTTTTCATTTCTGAGGATATAAATCTTAGGCTCACTTTTCTGACAACACAGAGCATTTCAGTATAAAAATTTCACCCAACAACCTCAAAACCTTGCTTGGTTTGGTTTTTTGAGTCCTAGAGTTTGATCTTTGTATGAAAACTGTACCCAGAGGCACAGCCAACTTACAGCAGATGTTAGCAGCTTATCCACGTGAGACATTTCAAAATGCAAGGTGCAACATACCAACATCATCCGTCTTCACCCTGGCTCTTCCATCGTCATTGTGCAGTCAGTTGAAGAGCTGTAATGGGCCCAAAGTGTAATGGCTTGGTGCAGGGCAGAAAGCAGGAAGAAAAGTGAAGACTGGAAAACATCTACCATGTGGACTTCTGCTTTTAGCATCCGCAAAAAAAAATGTTCTTTTTCTAACAACTGGTTTTTGCAAAAGGCTTTTACTTCAAACCAGGTATGAACTTTATTCTTGGAAAGCTTTTAATGATGCAGTTTCAGTAGAAAAATAGATTACTTCAGAAAGAGGTAAAATACATCATTGTTTCTGTCCCCTGCTTCTGTCTCTCTTCTCTGGCAACTGACACTCTACCAGTGTTCAGGAGGAGCACCACCATCCTACACTCTGCAGCATGAATGCTGAGCTTTCTGAGACACATGGGCACTGTTGTTTTCCCCTGAAAGAGGGTTATTTGTGTAGATATATGCAAGAAGGAAGGGTTTGATCACTACTGCTGACTCAGTAAGAAAAATATAACATGAAAGCTAGAATAGAAATGAAGCAGAAAACTGAGGGCAGGAGGGAGGGAAGGAATGCAGAACCCTTCCACTGATACCTGTGAAAAAATGTTGCTGTTTACTCAGTTTGGGTGGCTGCTGTTTAAAACTCCAAGTCTTTGCTTTAAAAGGGTGGCTCACTTTGCTCTCTGGGATTCTCTATTTGCTGACCTTGATGCTGGAAGGAGGGCAGAGCAATTAGCCCCTTTTCCACACTCTGGTATTTGCCAAATAGGGAGTAAGTGAAAACTTGTTCTTAAACATCTGGGATGAGGCTGAGGGGAAAAGATGGTGCCTTAGCTGGGTGTTCAAGGGTCTTGTACCAGATAGATCAATCAAGTCTAAATTCAAAAGTAGATGTTTAAAGACTGAAATAATTTAAGATATTAAGGCCTGAATTTTTAGCATCTAACATAAGACACCATGTCCTCTCCACTAACTGCCGGGGAGGTTACGGAACTGCTCTCCTAATGGAAGATTCTCAGCTGAAAGTTTGAGGCTGGATGTTTAAAACAGAGGACATGATTAGCAAACTTGTCTGTAGTATTCAGGCTTGAGTTTAGAGAAAAACTCTGATATAGGCTTCACTGCACCAGTGATGGTGCAGCAGAAGTCCAGTTGCTATGCAGAGATGGAGCCTCTCTCCTGCTTCCTGCTGTTCCACACTGTGCACAGGGGTTGTCTGCAGAATAAGCCGCAGATCACCTTGAGGATTGGAAATAAGATAGTGATAACCAGAAAGTAGTGAAGCAAACCCAGGCAGTAGAAGACAGCAATCAGCATCTGCTCCCACTGCGGGGGAGTCTCAGTCCAGCTCCCAGTGCCTCCCTTGCAGAGACCTTCGTGGTCAGTGATGCTGAAATGAGAAGGCCATTCCCTGTTACGGTGCCTCTCCGTGGGGTGTGTTTTAGCTCTGTGGATCTGCCTGTGTATACTACCATAGAGAAGAAGACTGTGAGTTCATAAAGGCACCCTGTAACTGCAGAGATTGGTCTCGTTGACACCTGTTCTTCCAAACTCTCACTTCCACTGTGCTTTTTTCAATTATATTTAAAGTTCTCTTTCATGTAATTGACAATTTCCCTTCCGTCTCTCCTATAGGTTAGTTTAAAAGGGGCAGGAGGTCCTTTCCCATATTGATTTGTTTTCCTGACCTTTCAGATACATGCAGAGAAGATCAGCAAAAAGGCATTGGAAAAGGAAAAGAACAAAAGCACAGTGCTTGTGCTCATTCAGAGAAGTAAGATAAATATGAGACACAGCATTGAGTACAAAATAAACCTTCTGCTGAGGAAAAGGAAGAAGCTGCCTGTATGGAAAAGAGATTGTGAGGAGTAACGCTTTGCAACACTTTGCACTGCAACAGTGGTGCAGGCTGTGACAAGGGACATACAGCCTTCAGAGAGCAATCATCTTCTCAGAGGTTTTTTTCTTTTAATCTTCTTTCTTTTTTTTTTTTTTTAAAGAAATGTAATTTAAATAGATATATCCTATTTACAAATAAAAAGAAATCAGATAAATTAATTTTTTTTCATATTTACAATTATTTTTACTGTATTTACACCCTGCTATTAAGCCAGTGTGTGTGGTGCCCCTATATGTGTTGTGGATTTGATTAGACATAAAACAGACGCCCTTCGCTCCCCTGACGTTTTCTTGGAAGTGCATCATGGTGGCACAACCAAATTCTGAGCTGGGTAGTAACATTTTTTTCTTTCTTAATTTCTCTCATACATTCAATAAGATTTGATTTTCATCTTCCCTCCCATATCTTGTAGTACTGCTTTGCCTCGCTGCATTCCACATTAAAAGCAGGCATAGCAAAGCAATGAATGAAGTGGCTGCTACAAATCCTTTACCAACCTCACAGGACATGGTGAGGATTAATTAACTGCTTATTCAGAGATTTCATATCCTAATATTAAAAATAGTACAATCATAATAAAAACAGATTTCTTCATTATCAGAATGAGTTATTAAAATCTGCACTAAAGACAATACAAGTTTCTTACTACAATAAAGTTCAGGACTGTATTCTAATCTCTGCTGCTGGGAGACACACAAAAAAATAACCCAGACTAACTTTTATGGTCAGTAAGTTATATTTCATTACCTACCTGTATAGCATTCTCTTTCATAATTATCCTGAAACAAGTTAGGATAATTTTAATTCTGGAGAAAAGAATTTAAAGAATCCATCCATTTATGTAACACTGATAATCCACTTTCAACTCACATATTTTGTTAATTCAGATGAAGTTTTCCTCAGATACTCTGCATAAGCAAATCCTCATTCTGAAGCCACCACCTCCTATCACAGATTACTCATCAGCAGCTTTCCTAAAATCAGTAACAATGTGGTTTTATGAAGTTGGGAATGGGTGATGGTTTCTTCAAACCCTCAGACCTCTGGGATTCAGATCTGAGCACTAGAGAAGTGAAGGAATTTAAGAGGAGATTCCTATATCCTCTCACTCAAGATGTGACCAGAGGTTGCTCCAAACTACACTCTGGAGGCAGTGACCCTTGAGGGTTGTCAAGCAGCCAAGAGCAGACAGGCTGCAGGTCCCCCAGTACCATTCCTTCTCACACCTCACTCATGCCCAGTGCTCAGTGCCAGCAAAGATCAGTTTCTCTGTACAAAATTTACTCCTTCATGTGCAATATCCATCCTAAAGGAATCCTTCATGGAGCACTAGTGTTCATACTGTGGAATGAGATTTAGGATTGAGCCTTCTGTCCAATTTTTGTACCACAAATATCTGCCAAGGTCTTCAGGACCTCCGTACAGGCCTAACTTCATTGTTTCAGAGAGAAAAATACTCTATCAACTTTCAAACCCTCTGAAAGTCATCACTAATTCTCTTCACTGTTGCACTACTACCAGGAAGGTCTGCTGAAAGGCACCAGCATGCGGGCAGAGAGCCCACAACTGGGAAACTGGAGTACCATGACATGTAAAGAGACAACACTCAATTCAAAAAAACCAAAACAATCCTTTCCTTTTGCCCCCAGGCACTGAAATTCTCTCAGAGAATGACATTCTTTTAAAAGAAGAGTAAAAATATAAATTCATTTCAGTACTGAGGCTGACACCTGCACCCACGATGTGCAGGGACGAACGCACCTGTGGCAAAAACACCTTTGTTCCTTGTGGGCTCACATCCAGCTGATGTGCTGTAGGTGGCTGCAGCTCCTCCAGGTGAATGTGAAGGTAAGGCCCTAAAAAAAAGGAAAGCAGCACTGTTTTGTGTACAGTTAAATCTGGCTTGCCACCAGGGATGTGTTTAAGATACAGGGGGACCTGAGGCTACATGCCACTGATGTATTTTGAAGTTAGGGCAGATCTATTCATTGCTAAGCAAAGCTTTACAAATATGTTAGTGTACCCTGCATAAGCAATGGGAGGTGTTCAGGAGACTACAGAAGAGCGTTCATTAGAGCAGCTCAGCAGTGAGGAACTGAAGCACCGGTGCATTCTGCTGAGAGAGGAATAAACAAACTGCTCAGAGCAGGTTTGCAGATATGTACACTGCTATAAAGTGCTCTTACCACTGTGCTGTACCCTTTTCAGCTTCTTTGTTCTAGTTTTTCTTGCCTTTTCTCCTTCCTTCACTCACTTTCATTATTCCTAATTGCCCCTCTGCCTTTACCTCACTGTTCTTCCTCTTTCCTTCCCACCTCCAGCTGCAAGGGTATTCTTCCACCCAGGTCTGAGCAGTCCTAGCAATACAATAACAGCTACTTTGACACTTCACTAGCTCCATGGTCCTCTCTGGCAGGACCTGAACACTTTCAGACACACAGGCCTTGGGACGTGTCAGCTCAATGCATTACCTGTACTCTGTTACTGACTGCTCACCCTAAGAGCTCTGGTTTTTTTTTTCTCCCAAGATAGAAAAAGAGGTCCTGCAGGGTGATGCATCCCATTCTTATTGCTTCTGGAGTGGTCTCACTTGCACTGGCTGTAGGTATTGTAGCTCATGGGATGTTCTTGAACCAGTCACCTCAGTTAGATTTCCCTTAATTTAAGGATACCCAGAATAAATATGGGCTTCACATCCTGCTATCGTGATGTACCCTTTGTAGTAGGCTTGAGGTTGATGTATTCTTTGTTATCTCAGGCTAAGGATAAATATAAAATCTGGATTCACTGAAGCTGTGTACATGCAGTCTGCACTGGGTTTGCACTGGGTCCCTAGCTATGGTGAAGCTCAAAGCCACCAGCAGCTGCACAAACAGTCTATGAATTCATAATCTGTGAATTTTTGAGGGTGGGGAACAATTACTGTACAATGCTGCACATGTATTATTCAAGCTCCTGAAGCCACCCAGTTGGCAAGACAACAAAAGAACAAACGTTTTGCAATGAAGTTCATTTTAATTGAAAGACCAAAGAGTCACATGTGCCTCTCCTTTTAGCCTTAAGGACAACAGTAAAACTAATGCCATTTTCAGAGCCATTGCTATTAAAAGGGAGGTGAGGGAGGGCTTTGTTTTCTAACTCACAGAGACACATATTCACTTTTACTGCCTGTCTATGCTACTCTACTCATTACACAGGGAAGTTTCATTTTGATGAGACTGTGGTGATGTATAATTTGCCTTTTATGGATTATATGGCCTGTCACCTCAAATATTAATCTAGATATTGCCAGATAAGTGATATGCACAATAAAGATCTGTTTCGTTAAACTCAGTCCACATTCATGACACCACTATACAGAATCAGTGCTGGGTGTGGAGCCCTTTGGTTTGTTTCCTTTGGCATAAGAAGTAGCTCAACAACTAAAATAACTTGGATTCCTCGATGTAGAGACAAATGTATGGACAGCTCTCTTCAGGACAAACTCACGCACTGGGCTGGATATCAGGATGGCGACGTTTCTTTCTTTTCCCTTTCTTGGTTTAACAAACAGCTAAAGGCAGTTTTGCACAGCTCATGTCTGCAGGTTTGAACAACCCAAAGTTGAAAGCTCCAAAGTGACTGAAACTGCTGGTGCAGCCTATTCCAAGCACACATGTTCATGAGGACAAAGATTGTGAGATCAGAAACTGAGACCCAGGTGAAGCCAACCTCTGGCTAACTAACTGCCACACCCCTTGTCATGCAAACCCATGTGTATGCTATACATGTCACCCTCCTCGTGCATTCTCCTGGAGTGACCTGCAGCTATTAATAGCCCGCTACCATCAGGGTCCAGCATGGCATATCAGAGAAAAGGAATTTCTCCTTCTTGGAAAAGGCAGGCAGCTATGGCGTTCCCTGTCTGGCTTGCCTGAGCTGCTCACTTTGCTGTATTCTATCCATGCAAGGGCAAGTTTCATGCCCCCCTTCATTGGTTTAAAAGGGTGTGCAGCAGATGAATTATGTAGAAATAAAATGTGGATTCACTGTGGTGGGATGGTTGTAGTAGATAATGACTTTCACGCCTGCTGCAAATGGATATTCTCGTGGGCAGCCACGGTTGCTGGGAGACTGCTTTCCTGAGGCAAGGAAAGGGGTATTCCCTGGAGAAATGAGCTTTGACATCTTGCCAGAACAACAGGATCTGCTTGATTAGACAGTGGTGTTTTGCCCATACCTTGTAGGACAGCACATCTGCTTTGTTGGAAACCTATGTCCATTATTTATTGCTGACCTTTGTTTGACCAAGTCAAATGTTCCACTGTCTCCAAGTAGCATAGGATGAGGCCCTTAATCTTTCAACACATTCAGGAGCACAGAGTTCAGTGAATTTCAGTCTTTTACCAAAATCTCTAGATGGTGAACCAGTTTGCTCCATCCTGAACTCCCTATAGAACTCCGTTTCAGATCATCAAAAATATTTGCCAAATTTGAAGTTGCTCAGACTCCTTTTCACTTTCTTTTTTAAAGGTTGGAAGGTCTGAACTTGTTTTGGATGGTTTCTGAACAGTGAGTGTAGTGTTGATTCCTCCCCTTCTATCATGTAGGGTGAACACAGACACCTGAATAATTCTCTAAGACTGCATCTGCCCTATACCAGAAACCACTTCCTAGTTTTGTTCTGCAAAATATATATGTGTTGCTTGCTGTTTGTTGCCCTCTGGTCAAAGAAAATAATAAATGAACACAATACATTCAAGAAATGAGAGAAGAGAGATGCTTTGGATGTGAAAACATCACTGCTAGCAATTTCAAAACCTCACTCCTCTTGCCTCAGCCCATCCAAACCCCATCCCCTTCTGTTTTCCAAGATATCATCAGTCTTAGAGGTGAGGGGGGAAGTCAAACAAATGGCAGCTACTGAACTCCAGCTTCTACAAACAATCCAAGGACAATATGCTCCTTTCCAGACCACTTGGAGGGGGAGGGAAGGGAAAATACTCTTCAATATTTAGGGACACATTTTGTATTTAAAAGACCACAAACGGTCCAGAGCTTTGAAAGAATACTGTGGGATTCAAAAGAGTATTTTCTGACCATAATGATTTATGGTGCTGCATCAGAACCCTCTTTGAAGAAATGAGGTGGAACCAAGTGGCTTTGGCAGGAAGGGAAATGGTCATGCAGCGATATGTCCAGACATCAAATTTAAAACAAATAAATATGCAAGCATCACCACAGGATGTTGCAAAGACCAGAATTATGAATGGGTTAAAAAAGGTGTTAAGACAAATTCACGCAGACTGGGCCCACTGGCAGCTATTAAAGATAGAGAACTGGCTGCCCCCCCAGCTTGGGAAGTTCCCTTATTCACTAATTGCCAACGACTGTTGGGTTTTATGGAATGAAGACATCTCTACATGCCCTGTTGGGGTAGCCTTTCCTCACACAGCTGCACAAGGCGGTGTCAGCTGGTACAGCCCTGGACCTCTGCAGAGGGGTTTGCTCTGCTGAGTTACCACAGGCTTTGTGGATGAGTGCTGCCAACTGCAGAGTGCCACCTGGACATACAGAGGTGTTCAGTGGACACTAACTGCAGGGCAGGTGGCAGGGAATGTCCTGTGCTGTGCTCACTCAGGAGCAGAGCATGTATATGCATCCTAACGCCACTCTCTGACAGGCTGACAGTTACAAGAAAATGGACTCCTTAGGTTTCCTGCAGGACTTCTGGAAAAAAATACACATGCCCTGTCGAAGTCTTAAACACTGATAACTGTAGTCATCAGGAATCCCCTCCAGAAATTCTAAAAACAGCCCCGGACTGAGAGCCTGTGAGCAACTTCCTCACTTACATGGGCTCACTGGGGAGAGTTATGGAGCAGATCATCCTGTGTGCAATCACACAGCAGCTACAGGATGGACAAGGGATCAGATCCAGCCAACACGGGTTTAGGAGGGGCAAATCCTGTTTGACCAACCTGATCTCCTTTTACGATCAGGTGACCCACCTGGTGGATGAGGGAAAGGCTGTGGAAGTGTCTATCTGGACTTCAGCAAAGCCTTTGACACTGTCTCCCATAATATACTCCTGGAAAAGCTGCAGCCCATGGCTTGGACAGGGGCACTCTGTGCTGGGTCAGGAACTGGCTCGAGGGCCGGGCCCAGAGAGTGCTGGTGAACGGGGCTGCATCCAGCTGGCAGCCGGTCACCAGTGGTGTTCCCCAGGGATCAGTGCTGGGCCCAGTCCTGTTTAACATCTTTATTGATGATTTAGATGAGGGGATTGAGTCCATCATCAGCAAATTTGCAGATGACACCAAG